ATCTCTTGACCTCGTGATCCGCCCGCCTCGGCCTCCCAAAGTGCTGGGATTACAGACGTGAGCCACCGCGCCCGGCCGATAAATGCTATTTTTTTTTTATGGAGCCTCTCTCTGTTGCCCAGGCTGGAGTGCAGTGGCACGATCTCGGTTCACTGCAACCTCTGCCTTCCAGGTTCAAGTGATTCTCCTGCCTCAGCCTCCCAAGTAGCTGGGACTACAGATATGTCCCACCATGCCCAACTAATTTTTAGTATTTTTAGTAGAGACAGCGTTTCACCGTGTTAGCCAGGATGGTCTTGATCTCCTGACCTCGTGACCCACCTGCCTTAGCCTCCCAAAGTGCTGGGATTACAGGCGTAAGCCACCATGCCCGGTCATAAATGCTAAATTTAACAATGAATGGGACTGTTTAGTGGTTATATTTAAAGGACATTTAAGCATTTATTAATTTTTGTGGTTATAATTTTTTTGTTTGTATTTTGAACTCGCATTTTTTGCAGATCCCAAACTTTTTTCTGTCTCTGAAAATGGCGCTGTTCATTGTCCTGCTGAAAACTATTCTGTGACTTTCCACTATTCCTAAAGTGAAATCCTTACTGTGGCCTGCAGGACTCAGTATGATCTAGCTCTTCCTGTCTCTTGAGATTCATTTCATGCCTCTATCCCCTGCTCACAAGTCCTAGCCTCCTGATCATCCCTCTTGTTCATGGACCACTCAGACATTTGCTTTTCAACTCAGCTTAAATGTCACTCCTGAGAAAAGCCTTCCCTAACCACCTTATCTGAAGTGAGCCTCTCTCAGTTATTCTATATCCTGTCAAACTGCTTATTCCCTTCTCAGTGAATTCCTTTTCCTATGAGGATGTCAGCTCCATATAGATGAGAACCTTCTGGTTCCCTGTTGCATTCCTACCATTTAACACAAAGTCTGATGGGGAAAGTACTTAGTATGTATTTATTGAACAAATGAAGATTAATGTTAATAGCTAGTTTAACTGTCTTTCTATGGTTGTAATTTAGCCATCCTTGTATTGTTGGTGTAGTATTGTTGGTGTAAACCCTACATGCTCATAATGAATTATTCTCTTAAAACTACTCAATTCTATCTCATAATATTTTACTCAGTATTTTTGCATCTGTCTTCACAAGTGAAGATTAGTTTAGTTTTATTTTTGTACCATCTTAGTCCAAATGTGTATCAGGAATATGTTTTCCTCATTGAAGAAAGTAGGAAGCTTTTCCTTTTATCCTTAATACCTCCTGGAACAGTAGGGATAATATGGAAATTATCCGTTCAATGAGAGTTAGATAGCATTCACCTAGAAAATTGGGCTTGCTGTCGTTTTAATGGCTCGTTCTTTGAAGATCTTAGAGATTTCTGTTATGGGTTGTTTCCCCTAATTTTTCTTGAGTTTATTTTGGTAACTTCTGTTTTCTTTGACTGTCATCCATCTTATTTAATCTTCAAGTTTATTTATGTAATGTTACATATAATTCTAGCAAGTTTTAAAAGATTTTCTCTAAATCTGCAGTTACATTATCCTCTTTCTCAGCCCTAATGTTTGTGACTTCTCTCTCTCTCTCTCTCTCTTTTTTTAAATAGAGACAGGATTTCACCGTGTTGGCCAGGCTGTTCTCAAACTCCTGACCTCAGGTGATTCCCCCCACCTCGCCCCACAAAGTGCTGGGATTACAGGTGTGAGCCACCAAGCCCCACCCTTCTCTCTTTTAATTGATCCGATTTTCGAAAGTATTATCTACATGTGTTTAATTTTTAAAAATAATAGTTTTTGGTTTTATTAATTCAGTTTACACCTTTTTTGGGGGTGGGCTGTTACTTTACATTTGTGCCCCAAAACAAAACAAAACTAAAACCGATATCTATATCTGTATATCTGTGCCAGTAGTATACATACGGGCACATATATATAATCCATCGCTGAGGCTGGAGTACAGTGGCGCGATCTTGGCTCACTCTAGCCTCAACTTCCCAGGCTCAAGTGATCCTCCCACCTCAGCCTCCGGAATAGCTAGGGCCACAGGCATGCCCCACCAAGCCCAGCTAATTTTTTTATTTTTTTATAGAGGCGAGGTCTCCCACTATGTTTTTTGCCCAGTCTCAAACAACTGGGCTTAAGCGATCCTCCCACTTTGGCCTCCCAAAGTGCTGGGATTGCAAGCATGAGCCACCACCACAGCCAGCCTTTCTTTTATATTTATTCTTTTTTGGGGTTTATTAACTCTTTTTCTACATTTTTGAACATTCATTTAAGTAAGACATTCTCACTCTGTTGCCCAGGCTGAGGTGCAGTGGCATGATCTCAGCTCACTGCAACCTCCATCTCCCAGGTTCAAGTAATTCTTCTGCCTCAGCCTCCTAAGTAGCTGGAATTATCAGCATGTGCCACCATGCCCCACTAATTTTTGTATTTTTAGTAGAGACAGGGTTTCACCATGTTGGCCAGGCTGGTCTTGAACTCCTAATCTCAAGTGATCTGCCCACCTCGGTCTCCCAAACTGCTGGGATTACAGGTGTGAGCCACCATGCCCAGCCTTTTTCTAGATTTTTGAGTTAAATGTTCAGTTCGGTTCATTATTTTTCAATCTTGTTTTCTTCTTCTCTCTCTCTTTTTTTTTTTTTTTTTTTTTTTTTTTNTTTTAAGAGACAGAATTTTGTTCTCTCGCCCCAGCTGGCGTGTAGTGGTATGACTTGGGCTCAGTGCAGCTCACTGCAACCTGCAACCTCCACCTCCTGGGTTCAGGTGATTCTTGAGCCTCAGCCTCCTGAGTAGCTGGGACTACAGGCATGTGCCACCATGCCCAGCTAATTTTGGTATTTTTAGTAGAGACGGGGTTTTGAGATTTTGGCCAGGCTGGTCTCAAATTCCTGGCCTCAAGTGATCCACCCACCTCGGCCTCCCAAAGTGCCCAGCATTACAGGTGTAAGCCACCATGCCTGGCCAATCTTGTTTTCTGATAAAAATATATTGAGTAATGGTATGTAACCGCCAAAGGTGCCAGCTTTGAAAGATAACACTCTTTTGAATGGTCTTGTTTTTTGTTTTAGAAAATAATTTTTATTACTTTGCATCCTTACCTCTTAATAATATAATTTTAAAACATTGTCTAATTGTTAATATGAAAAAAGTATAATAAACCTATCACAAAATCTATTAGTCTGGAAGCACAAGGGAAAAATAATGTGTTTATTGTACTTGTTTCTTTCATATGAACAATTGGACTAATTGCATTAAATTTAGAGGTATTGCATAAAAAGGTGATCTGGAGGTTAAGGAAAAAATATTCAGCATATTATTTGAAATTAGAACCTATATATATGGGGTTTTTTTGTTTGTTTGTTTATTTGTTTTCTGAGACAGAGTCTGGCTCTGCTGCCCAGGCTGGAGTGCAGTGGCTTGATCTTAGCTCACTGCAACCTCCACCTCCCAGGTTCAAGGAGTTCTCCTGTCTCAGCCTCCCGAGTAGCTGGGATTACAGTTGCCTGCCACCACGCCCAGCTAATTTTTTTGTATTTTTAGTGGACATGGGGTTTTGCCATATTAGCCAGGCTGGTCTCCAACTCCTGACCTCAAGTGATCCGCTTGCCTTGGCGTCCCAAAGTGCTGAGATTACAGGCATGAACCACCGTGCCCGGCCTTAGAACCAATATTTTATTTAAAATATGTTTGTTCTGTTTCCAAACTTTTCATACAGTTTGCTATTTTAACACAAGGCAACACAGAAACATTTGTGTACAACAATATTCTACATTGGGGAGTGGAGACTTAGCAAAGTTCAGTTTCATAAAGAAAGCATATCCATCACAAATTAAAACAAAGTGGATGTTCAGTCTCCATACGTTTTAACAAACTGAGCACGCTATAAGCAAGTAGGCTTTCAGCAACTCATCTGGAAGGTATTGGAAGGATAAAAATAGACTAAATAATCAGAATTTCCATTCTAGGAGTTTCCTGCTTTTTCCTGCATCTCAATTGTCAGCACAGGGCCTGGCTATTCCACTCAGTACTAGGCAAAGACAGTGGAAGCTTGTTGAGCCACAGCTATTCAGGCTGCCAGATCGTCCAGGCATTGGCCTCTGCCTGCCCTGAAACAGCTCCTTCCTGTCCTCATATCTGAGTGGAAAAAGCAAAGGCAGGAGACTGTATCAAGACCCAGAAGCCAGGATGACAATAAGTATGTGGGATTTTACAAGCATTCATAGGTTCCTTTTCAAGGAAAGCCAGGCTTCTAGAATCTGTCAGTCGTCTGCTGGCTGGCATGTCAGCCTGGTTTATGAGAGAAGCACACTGGGGAATCCTCCCTTTTCTGGCTTATAGAGATAGGTGGAGTCGATAGTCATAAGGCACTCTCATGTGCTTTTTAGTATTTTAGTTACTTTATTTCCTGAAGCAGTCCTTAAAACAGGTAGATGAATGCGAGTTTTTGGGAACAGTGTGACCCTCATTCCCCTAAAGTTTTTATATTCAGGTGGCAGATTTCCTCCTACTCAGCCCAGCCCTTCTGAATGGGGTCCAAGTCATTGATTCATTCATATTTATTCACCTCCTATGTGGGGTTTGGTGTGGAGCCTCACAGAGCAGTGAAGACATGGTGTTTATCCTTATACAGTTTACAGTCTACTGGGAAGACTAATGTTAAGCACATTCTTTCGCAGATACTAAATTGCAGTTATCACCATTGCATTCTGAAGAAGCAGTAAAGGATGTTATGGGAGTTAACAGGAAGGCCTGGTCTGGACTGTGAGGGTCAAGAAGGCTTCGCAGGGCGGAGGCGAACTTTTGAGATAGCCAGGAAAAAATGAACGGAACTGCTCAAAGAAAGAAGCCAAGTGGGGCTGGGCACGGTGGCTCACTCTGGTAATCCCGAGGTGGGCGGATTATGAGGTCAAGAGTTCAAGACCAGCCTGGCCAACTTGGTTAAAACCCGTCTCTACTAAAAATACAAAAATTAGGCATGGTGGCGCACGCCTGTAATCCTAGCTACTCAGGAGGTTGAGGCAGAATTGCTTGAACGCAGGATGTGGGAGTTGCCCTGAGCCGAGATGGGGCCACTGCACTCCAGTCTGGGTGACAGAGCGAGACTTCATCTCAAAACTAAAAAATAAAAATAAGAAAAAAGAAGCCAGGTGCAGCGTTTCAGAGGTTAAAGAAACCAAACATACCCTCTAGTGAAGCCCAATCTCCTACAAATGAGAAAACTGGCCAGGCAGGGTAGATTAGGGACTTACTCGCTTTTAGCACTAAAGTTACACAGCCTGTGAGCTTCAGGGCTGGAGATGCAAACCGAGCTTGGGTTTCTCCAGTAGTTAGTAATGGAGATGCATATGGAAAGGAGACGGGATTAGGAGGGGTGGAAACCAGGTAGGTTTTAATTTAGTGCCTCGTCTCCCTCAGCTGCAGAGCTACTTCCTGCGTTGGGGGAGGGGATTAAAGATGACTCAGACCTGTCCTGGCCCAGAGAAACTCCGTTTGCAATGCTGTAGCATAGTTTTTATTTGGGTTTGCGGGAGGAGGTACTGAATACACATACAGGCAAAACAGTAAGTGTAGAGTTCAGAATTGGGAAACCAGTCCCTCTTCTGCAGCTGTTTAGCTGTGCGATTTGGGATAAGTCACTTAACCTTTCCGAATTGCAGTTCAGTTTATACTTTTGTGCATTTCTTTCAGTCTTTTTCTATGCATTTTAGGAGCTTCTTAGAGATCAGTTTTGCCCTATATTTCACCTCAGTCTTTCCCAAAACTAAAGCCTCTTGTTTCGTAGAGCGGTGTTTCAGCCCCTTTTACAGAGCAGTTTGCCAGCCTGTGCTTGCCCAAACATCTAGAGAATAACTAGCAAGCGAGCCAGGATAAGATCCAGGAGCTGTAAGAATCGTTAGCAACTGAGCATATTTCTATAAACCAATAAAGGTTTTTCTATTTTGTTCATCTGTTACCCTTATGCTGTTGCCACTTTCACATGCAGTGTCTGTAGGCGGAGAGTATGAGATAACAGCATTTCACAAATGAGTGGAAAAGGGCTGCTTCCCCTTTAAGGCAGTTTCAGCTCCAGCTCCCTCCCCTTTCCTGATTGACAAACCTACCCGAAGTCACATGATCTGCCTCTATTTGAAGGTCACAAAAAGCTGCTTCCTTTAGAGACAGAGGGGGAGAGAGAGAGCAAGAGGGAGAGTGTGTGAGAGAGAGTTAGTTCAAGCCAAAATGGCCGACAGAGTCTCTGCTGGTTTCTGAATATTTAAAATACAAAAAAACAGATAGACAAAAAGAATTCATTTTTTGGACCTTTTTTCATTTCCATTTCTACCTTGTATGCCTCAATTTGCTGGATTTAAGCACTGCTGCACTTTATGAGGTTGGTAAATATTTTCAATTTTTTTAAACCAATTGATTTATATGGATCTTGTCTAACCGTTTTCGCTGGTGGTGTTGCAAATCGACATTTGTCTAGCATGGAGACTGGCTTCAGACATTTCGTGGATCTGTGTAAATCAGACCCGTGATGTACTTTTGGTTCGGCATTTTAGAAATGGAAAAGACTTGGTAAAATATTTAGATTTTGAAGTGGTTTAATTGCACTTTTAATGTATATGGAGATTTTCATCATCGTTTCTATCTTGCAATAAATGAAGCTAAGAGTAATTGGAAATTTGCTTTTTGGAAAGAGGTTTTTAAAAAACACAGACCTCCCCCTCCCCCCTTAAATCTGCTGCAAAAATTTGCATAAATATAAATGGGTTTGCATTCTTTCCGCTGCTAAGGCCGACAAAGGATCTGGGAGGGCAAGCCCTCGAACGGGAAAGCCTTTTTCTATCTTTTTATTTTTTAAACTGGGCCTTCCTTCCTAGAGAGATGTAAAACCTAAAGTAAGACCTGATACATTTTAAACATCAGGTTGGGGGCGGGTGAACACCAGGAGGTTTGGGGTTTGTAGATTCCCCTGCTTGAAAACCTCCCAAGCAATATGTGGCTCACCCCTCTCCTTTCTGCGCGCGCTCATTTGCACTGGGTCTCTGTGTGTGTTCTCAAATGTGCAGCCAGATGCGCTTTTATTTTGATCGTGGATTCATCCAAAGGGTAGGACTGTCTTGTAAACATGATGTTTTAAAGATATGAACAGCTCTTCACCACGATTAGAAATTATTTCTTTATCACTTCTCCTGGTGTATTAGCCTTCTTCATTCCTCACAAAATAAAATTTGTGTTTAATTTTACACAGATGCATAACTGGGCTTTTCAGCACAAATTCATCGTGTGGGTGTGTGGTTGCCTGTTTCAGCCATGTATCCACAGCGAAGTGGTCATTTAGGGTCACATGTATAAGTAGCTGTCTGTGTGATTGTTAGTAAGTGCCTGAAGTTAAATTCCATTACTCCTAATGCAGGATTCTAGAAGCCTGAGAGCAGGGAGGAAAGAAAGCTGAAAACTTGCTTTCTCAGAGCCTCCTCCCCCTATCATTGTGAGAGTGTGATGTAATGCTTCTCGGTCTGGTGGGCTGAAAGGATTGTAGTTTGTGATGTGGCGGGTAAATTGCCCCCACCCCTGGGTAAATTACTCCACCCCCCTGAGCACATCCCTGGCTCTGAGAGGCCTTGTTTTCTTTTCTCTTTTTTTCCTAATTTGTATCCTCCTGATTTATGCTGTGGCATATTGGCATGAGAAAGAGACTGCTCTTCTAAATCTGTTACAAAGTATAGTTTAGAAAAGGCATTTAAAATATGCAAATGGGTTGAATTGTCATATCCCCATCATTAAATATGTAGACGTGGATTAAAGCTAATTAAGCATAAATGGAATAATTTTGATCAGAAGGGAGCAGTGTTTTTTGTTGCTTCCTTTTTAATTAATCTAATTATGAGATGCTTACTGGGCCTGAAAGTGTTAAAAAAGATAAAGTGGAAAAAATGCTGGACCATTTTGAAAATTTGACAGTCTGGAAGAGGGTGTGTGGTGCTTTCAAAAGCTTTATTCACTGTTAAAATGGATTGGCCTCTTGTGCTGAAAATGGCCTGTTTCTTTGGGCCAATTGTGTGTAGATGAAGGGACTTTCACGCTAATTTAACAAAAAGACTTTCCATTTGAATGCATAAGATAATTAAAGTCCTCTGTCTCTAACAAGCAAGGATTTTATTATTTTAAAAAATTAATGTTGTTAGATTAGTAATGGTAATAAGTAGAGAAGTGACTGTTTAGATTCACTGTAAATTTTTTGATGATACAAATTCAACTTTTGTAAAGAATGATTGGAAACATTACATTAAAGAGGTGGACTGGAACAAAGTTGTCTCTAAATTTTTTTTTTACGTCTTGAATTTAAAGGGAAAAAGATACAGAAATTACCTTAGTGATAGGGAGTGTTGCATTGTGGTAGACCTACAGGAAAATCAGAGCTCTGATTTTTGTTGTTGTTTTTCTGAAAATGAAAGCACTTTGCTTGCTAGACGATTCATTTTACACCTGTTTCCTAAAGTTGATCTTACTGAAGAGGAGAGAAAAACCTAGGTTTTCCATGTTGTGCCATTAGCTTGTTTTTGTGGACTGTGTAAACATATGAATGGCAGGTTAATTCAGTTTGCAGAGAGGAGGAACCGGAGCAGGATACCTGCTCTCTTAGGCAGAACAGAGAAGGATATAATGAATGCCATTTGATTCTTTGAAATGTTTTTATAAATATTATTTTCCCCCAGATAATTAAAAGGTGAGATAAATAAGACCTGGCTTCACGTATAGGAAGCATTATGGTTCTGGTGAGTTGATAGCTCGGCTGCCATTTTGGATCTCAGATCCTGCAGAGCCAATCCTTCTGGCTCATCAACACGATGGTCATCCAGAAGGAAATGAAAACGAGTAATCAATTAAGTGTGCAGATGGATAGTATTTAATCTGTGATAGTTTTCTTTCTGTGAGTAGTGTGAATTGAAGCTTTAAAAACTTGAAAGATGTGGCTAACCTTATGAAGAGCAATATCCAGGAGTACTCGAACTTGCATGCTGTGGTTTTACTTTTTTAAAATGAGATGGCGTATGCAGAGGAAGTTTCTTATTGGAGAAAGTGAATATAATCCCTATTAACCACGCCCTCACCAATCCATATTTCCTAATGCTGGATCAACTAATGATTATAACACTACTCTGTCTCAGAAAAAAATGTTACAGGTTTATGAGTGAAACATCACAAAAATTGATAGTATTCATCAGAAGTGGTATCTCAATTTTAAAGTGTTTTTCAATCATTCCATCTGGTTCCCAGAAAGGACGATTTGGCATCTTTGATATATGGTGCAAACTCAGCTCTGCTCTTCAGGTGTGAATGGCCATTTGTTATTCTGTATGGCCACTAGGATGGTCCTTTAAAAATAAACTTCCGAACATTGAAGCAAGACTTCTAAGACTTCTCCAGATCTTCAGCTCTACAAGAGACACTGAAAAGAGTATTATGTGATAATGAGACCTTCAGGTTCTGCAGAGCAGGCTGAGCAGCTCTGGCTGTTGAGGACCACCTTGAAGAATAAGGGTAGTCCCTACCCTACCCAGCTGCTCCATGGCTGAAAAGTTTGGGGGGATATTAGTTTTTTATAACTCAGATCATATAATCATTGATCATCTGCAGTTTAAGCTGGACACGGCCCTGAAGCAATGCAGATAAATGAATGTACTTTGTCCCCTTCCTCAAGGAGTACCAGTTCAGCATTATTGGTAAACAGATCGTCACAACTTGACAGTTTACATGTATTCAGAGCAAGCTCCTGGTTACAGAAGTATCCTGATATCTGCATTAGGAGAGCTCTTATTTTAAAATTTCTTAAAGAAGCCAAATAGGCCAGTTGTGGTGGCTCACACCTGTAATTCCAGCAGTCTGGGAACCCGAGGCAGGTTGATTGCTTGGGCTTAGAAGTTTGAGACCAGCCTGGGCCAACAGGGTGAAATCCTGCCCCTACAAGGAATTAAAAAAAAAAAAAAAATTAGCTGGGCATGGTGGCACATGCCTATCGTCCCAGCTACTCAGGAGGCTGAGAGGTGAAAGGATAGCTTGAGCCCGTCAGATCGTCGCTGCAGGGAGCCAAGATCT